ATTTTATCCAAAAGTCAATTTTCTTTTTAGGTTTTTGTCCCTTTAAATTCCGCTTGCATCCTCTTTTTCTCCCCCCATGCCCGTTAGCCACTGTTCCTATGCTGGAGGTTTCAGATTTAAAAATAATTTTTGTTGTTGTTGTTGTTACTTCATCTGTGGGTTGGCTGTGACTCACCCAGCTTCAAAAACTCCATTACATTCACTGCTCCTGCTCAATACTTAGTCCGGTTGCCCCAGCTTCTTGACAGCCGTAATGGCTGCTGCCCCCGCCGCCAAATTGGAGAGATTCCTCTGACCTTCGAGGAACTTGCCTCTTCCTCTTGGTCTTCCGAGGTGCCTCTCCTTCTTCCCCGTCCCTACAGGATGGTTCTGATCCGAAGACCCCTCAGCAGTGGTTCGTCAATCTGGGTTTTCGCGGAGCTCATCAGAGCCCGCTAATTCCCCGACTGTCTCACCGTGATGCTTCCTGTCGAATCACAAGGTGAGGAGGGTTTGGGGCACCTGCTGCCTACTCTGTCCCATCTCTTTTGGTTTGCAGTTGGAGAGCAGGTTACCACTGGTCATCTCCTTGGCCCCCTCATGGTTCTGGAACCACTGAGGCCTCCAGCAGCTCGCACAAGTCCATTAGGCCTCTGTTGTCGCCACCCAGAGCACCAGGCCCAGGGAAAGCTTGATCCCCATCGATGCTATGGCCGCCCAAGCCCAGCCAGGATTGTGTGCCTTCCCCCTCATCTCTGCTGGGCCTGGGCAGCCAGGGCTCCCCTGGGAATCTGGCACTTGCAGTGGCCTTTTTTGCCTGCTGGGCCTGGTCGTGCTTTACCACCTCTACTCAGCCTTTCTAGCTGGCTGCTTTGCCTCCTTTGGGCTGGGCAGGTCCACCGAGCAGTGGCAGAGTTGCCACCCAGAGTTGCCAGGGGTAGAGACCCCTGATGACGTGCCTCCTTCAGTGGGCTGCTCGGTAGGGAGAGCCGAGCCCTGCCCTGCAATGCAGCAGTTCCAGAGCGCTTTCAGGGCGCTGCCTGCTCAATCCTTCAGACAGAGCTCCTGAGGCTGTGGTCTATTTCCTGGACTGAAGGCAGCCTTCTATCTTGCAGCCCCCCCTCCCCCAGCCGCATCTCCATTCCAAGCTGAGGGTTGCAACCAAATGACCCGCTCGGCCAGCGTTCCAAGAAGGTGCGGCTTGGGCGTAGTGAGGCTTCCCTCCATGTGAGCAAGCGAGTCGGCAAGGCACTGCCTGAATTTGTCCCTGGGGCTCAAATTCCCTCTTCCTCCAGCCTTGGGATGGGCACCGCTTCCTACCCTGCCCCCCACACTTCGGGTAAACCTGCCTGGGGCACAGCATGTTGGTTCTGGTAGGAGACAGGGAAATGCTGCACTTCCTCTCCCACTTCCTGCAGGGCATGCTGGTGAAGCACCCTTCTCACTCACCTGCTGCTGCAGTTGGGTGTGCAAGGGGAACATGCCCCACACAGGGAAGGGAGACACACACCCATAGCACTTGGCCAAAGGGCAGGGGTGGGCGGGGGAGCAGCTGCAGCCAGCTGGTGGAGGGGCGATGCCGGTGGGTGGACTGATGCGCACAGGGAGGGGAGTGCGTGGGAGATGGCAGCATCAGAACCCTCCTTGCCTCTTCCCCGAAGCACCTCACACCAGCTGAATCCCCTGCCCCAAATGCTGCTGCCGCCACTCCCTGCCTTTCTTAGGATGCTTGTGGCGGCACTTTGGACAGGACAATGGCAGCAGTGGGGGAGGGGCTAGCGACACTTCCTGGAATGCACTCTGGCTCTTCCCCGAAGCACCTCGCATGAGCTTGCCCCAAATGCCGACGTTGCTCCCTGCCTTGCTCGGGATGCTCGTCCTTCACTGCCCAGTTCCAGTGGGGCAGGCAGAGTTTAATATCTGTCCCCGGGGAGCATGCTGAGGGGGAGCTGGAGTGGCCAGATCCCTTCCAGGAGGCCCTCACGATAAAGAGGTCCCGTTGCCACTACTTTGCCTGTCAGGTGGCAGCGAGGCAACATCACTGGTAGGAAAAAACCCCAACCTCTGACCCTGTGAACGTCACCTCTGTTGTGGATGGGCTTGCACGGTGACAGCAGGAGCAGGAGCCCCGCACTAAGGGTGGTTTTCCTCCTCTCTACTCAAGAAAAGGGGTTTTGGCACAGCATTCTGAAAAAGCAGCATTTTATGTTTTCTTAATTGGAATATGCAAGTAGGTTTCCCGTGCTCTCCTATCTCTTTTCGTAGGTTTCAGATTGAGGCTCCCCGATCAAGAGCAGGGCTGAGGGGAAGCCAGCCTTAATTTCAATAGCCAAATTGGGGGCGGGGAGGGGGAGAAAGAGGCAGCCCTTTCTGGGAAGGCAGGCCAGTCTAGTAATCCCTCATTTTCCATTCCCCCACCAATTAAGGGAGCAGGCAGGCTACTATACTTGGTAGTCTAGCTCAGCCCAGGAAGGCAGAGGAGGCCCTTGTGCCAGAAGGGGCTTGCCTGGGTCTCATGGCTGCTGCTTCAGCCACAATGAAACACATTACCTTGGCAAGGGAGCTATTAGGGAGGGGGCAGAGGAATCAAGCCTAGAGGAGAAGCACCTCTTTTCCTTCTTGTCTGTTCTGGCATTGAGCTGCAGTGGAGGGAGAGCAAAAAGAGCCTGTGCTGGTTGGGGGACTTGGCCGGGGAACAGTCCCAAGTATGCAGGAGGTTGCTGCTGAGGGGTGCCCTGTTTCCAAGTTCTGGAGTAGACATAAACTTGCTCCTTTGCCATTCTAAGGAGGCCCAGCTCTTGGGCTGAGTCCCTTGCCTCCCACTCACCAAAACAAGGAGAGGCAATGCCTTCCCTGGTTTGTTCTACTTGTTGATTGTAAGCTCATTCGGACTGAGAAGAATTGCTGCAAAACTGAGTTTCCTGAAGTGGACCACTAGACTCCTAAACAACTTTAAAAAATGATCTAGTAAAAAGAAAAGTCAACCAAAAGAGCAACATGCAAACAAAATCAAATCAAATACCCCCAGGAGCAAAACAAATCAAAGTTTAATTTTTGTGTATTGTTTAATGGTCTGCTAAATTGGCCATGCCCACCCAGTCACATGACCACATAGCCATGCCCCCACCAGCCAGTCTGGCCCCCCAATAGTCTGAGGGACCTATTTAAAAAGTTTGAGGACCCCTGATCTAGGATAAGCAAATATGTTGGTAAGCATAGTACATACATAGTCAAGGCAAAAATACACAGAAGACAATAGAAAAGCCTTCTATTTTCTAGAATAGAAAATTCTAGAATATTTTCTAGAATAGAAAATAAATGGAACCAATTTTCTATGGTGTTTTGATAAGATTAGTTGTATCTATCCTTCCCATCCTTAAATGGATGATAAGGAAAGTCCAAGGCTCTCAAATAATCTTGAAATAAGCAGGTGATACACAATTTCTGTAGTGGAAAGCAGAATATGTATATGGAAATTGACAGAATAGTTGCTTTTGTTAACAAGTCACATGTCTAAACTAAACACTCAAAGAAAGAAACACATTTTTTAGGGAACAAGCTTGGACTAAATCTTCTTACAATGTCAGCTAGATAGTTCCCAGGAAGATCTTTTCATGGCCTCCTCCTACATTTTCACAGATACCCATCTCTGGTGAGAAAGAAATGCTCATCCCAACCCCTCAGGATTTAATCATGAATGTAGAAGGGTGGTGGAGTGATATTACAAGCTGTTAGTCCCTCTTCAGGGTCATAACCCTAAATTGTATCTCTTCTATCCACAAATCTGGCTATGGGTCCATTTTGAGTTAGCCACCAAAACTGTGAATTCCAGATGCTGGGCAGTGAGAGTAGCAAAGCAGAAACATCTGGGAAGAAACCAGTTACTGTGATACATGGAGAGATAGATAAGAGATTCTTTCAAGATCCCTTCATCCATGGAGAGCATGGTTGTTACTAAAAAGGGCAAGTGTGGGTGCTATACACTTTCTGCTGCTATAAACAGTAAAAGATGGGGTTTTTGAAAGTGAATATGGCTGCCAAGAACAAATCAGATGCAGGTGCAAGATCTCAAGCCTTGAGTTGTTTACATATTTCCTCCCAGCTGTCACTACTGGAGCACTAGAGCATGCGGGTGTGTTTTTCACCAAGAAGCAACAGCTGCACTTGTTCTACTTTGATATAATGTCAAGCAATTGCTGCCCACAGAGTGGCACAATTCAGAAAACCCACTCCCAACTTCTCCCAGCTCCCAGTGGACAACACCCACAGGATGGGTGGTGTTTGAATGTGTGTGTCAGAGAGAGAGACAGACAGACAGACAGAGATGAGGCAGAAGCTGAGAGGAGGAGGAGAGTGGTATGTGAATTGGCATCAAATCTGCCTGGTAGTTGGGAGTCACTTGCTGTGGTTAGCTCTCCAAGGGAGTGTGAGTTGGAAGCAGAAAAAATCATCCTGGTGTTAAATGCATGGAATTCAGTTCAATGGCCAGCCTAATGTGCTCTCAAAGTCACAGAGAGGGAACTAATCAATTACATGCGTGCCCTTACATTGTTGTTCACTATTATCAAATCAGATTTTAATGACCCAAATAATTTGTATCATAGTTCCTTCAAGGTACAGTATTTAGCAACCACTTTTCAAAAGAGGGAAATGATTTTAAAGGTTTTCCTTTATGAGGTTCCATGGAATTAACCTTCAATAGGTGCCCCTGGCTTTCCAGGCATTGGAGGAGCAGGGGGAGTTCTGGGGAAAAGATCTAGCAGGATCTCTGTTTATCTTCTTTTTTCCCTCTTCCCTTATGCCCTTCTCCAACTCATCAGTGGGAGCAAGAAAATAAGGTTCAGCCAGCCCTCGTGTCTGCCACAACATAATAAGGGGTGCGGGGAGAAATGTAAACATCGTAATTACTTTGGGTTCTGTTTTCAAAGGCGCTGGAGAATCCCTAAGGCACATTTCCCTCCCAGTTAAGGCACAGAGGCAGACTCATTACAGACAGCAAGGACCGCAGGCATGAACCATACCCCCAAATCCAGGACGCAGCCTGTTGTCATAGCCATCCAAGAGGCGGTCCAGGATGCGTGTAAAATTCTCCGGCCATAATTTCTCTTCCTTTCTGAGCTGTCCCGGGAGCGCGGTGACACTGGAAGTCGAAGGAAAGAAAGAGTGAACCCAGGGGCAACACATGCGAAATTAGGAAAGAGAGCGCGATAAGACCGCCACCATCGGGGGAGGGGGGACCTTGCCTCGCTGGTTCGCGCCCACTCCCAATTTTCTGGCCCCCTCCTATCCCTAATTCTGGGCATCAGATACAGGTGCAAGGAAACTGTAGAGCGCGGCGGTGGCGGCAGGAGGGGAAGAAGCGAAGCGAGGACTAGAGTGCTTACCAGGTCGCCCAGCACAGGAAGTGTACAAAGATGATCGACAGACCCGAAAACATAGCGATCGTTGGCTCCTTGGCAGAAACCATCTTCGCTTGCCATACTTTAAGCCTGGTTGCGCGTTTCCCCGTCGCTAACGCCTTGTCCAGAGAGATCACCCGGCCGCTAAAGGGGGGAGGGGGCAGGGGAGCGAACGGGGCGGGAGAAGGAGAGGAGGGGCGGACGATCCCGCCACTGGCACGCACGATCTTCTAACCGGGACCCCGCCTAGGCAACGATCGGGTACACGCCGAAAGGCAAAAGGAGGAGGAGGACGAGGAAGTAGGGCCCCCTCCTCAAGCCAAGCCCCCACACAGCCCAAAGCTACACCTTGTCGTAGCCGAAGCCGAGGCACGTTAGCTTCTGAGCGCGCGCACCAGTTCCTCCCCTGCGAGTCCTTTCCCTTCACTCTTTGGGGGATCCCAGGCTTTCAAACCCCACCTCTTCCTCGTAGCCCCTCCTTCTCTCCTTCCCATTCCCATTACTCCGATTCATCTCCCCTACGTCTCATTTTTGCTTCGGTTTTACTTTTTTTCTTCGCTTTAGCAAGATTCGGGGTTAACTTAATTTCGTGGAGTTCTCTGCGCGGATCGACAAAATCAGTCTCGACATATCAGCCAGCCATTAATGAATCTCCGAGCATATGCAGAGTGCCTCGACGATTACCCTTCGGAAGATAACGGAAAGTCCTGCTCGTCAGACACACCTTCTGCAGCCAAAAGTACAGTATAAGGCTAATTAATGAAATAATAAGGAAAAAGTATTTATTAAGTGTGCCTTATTTCCTCCTTGTAACCAAATAAGTCACTAGCACCAACACAATCTGGGATTAGGAAGCTTCTTTAAAATTACCGGAGATATACAGGAGAACTCTTTTCCTTAACTAAAATTAAAGTATTAACTAGAATTAACATTACTTTAACTAGGATTAAGATGAAATGTTAATATAAATTGCTAGTCCATGTATGATGTGCCATCTGCTAAATAAATAACCAAGATTAAGTGTCTATGGCAGTGGTTCTCAACCTTCCTAATGCCGCGACCCTTTAATACAGTTCCTCATGTTGTGGTGACCCCCAACCAGGGGTGGGCTCTAAATATTTTTTACTACCGGTTCTGTGGGCGTGGTTTATTTTGTGGGCGTGGCTTAGAGGTCATGTGACTGGGTGGGCGTGGCTATGTGTATAGGGACTACTCAGAGGGCTGAAAAAAGTCACTTCTGACAGGTCCTCGGACTTTTGACTGGTCCTCACACTTATGACCATCCTCACATTTATGCCTGTGCAGCATTCTTAACAACCATGTCACTCATTTCACAACTGCTTCTCTTTAACATGGTGATAAGATAGGGCAAAAAGCGTAAAATGTGAGGACAGTCGTAAATTCGAGGACTGGTCAAAAGTGCAAGGACCAGTCAAAAATAACTTTTTCAGCCCTCTGAGTAGTCCCTGTGCACAAAAGGACTACCCAGAGGGCTGAAAAAAGTGATTTCTGACAGGTCCTTGCACTTTTGACCGGTCTTCGCAGTTATGACTGGTCATCATTTATGTCCATTGTAGGATTCTTAACAACCGTGTCACTCATTTCACAACTGCTTCTCTTCACCATGGTGACAAGATAGGGCAAAAACGTAAATTGTGAAGACAGTCGTAAGTTCGAGGACTGGTCAAAAGTGCGAGGACCAGTCAAAAATAACTTTTTCAGCCCTCTGAGTAGTCCATATGCATAAAAGGATGCAGCAATAGAGAGGGATGAAGGAAGGGAAGGGAAATTAGAGTAGGAGTGAGGGTAAGAGAGGGAGGAAGAGAGGAGGGGAAGGAGAAAGGAAGAGAAGTAGGGACAAGAAGAAGGGGGGGAAGAGAAAGTAAGAAGGAAAGAAAAGACAGAGGTGGTAGGTTTGAGGAGAAAGATTGCTGTACAATAAAAAAGATGAAAGGGAAGAAAACCAACCCCAAACAAATATAAAGATATTAAGATAAAGAATGAATTGTTAAACTTTAAAGAATAAAAGAGAACAAATATGAATAAATAGCAATAATTAGAAGCACACATACAAACATACAATGTATTTTCTTTGAACAGAGTATTTGGCCGGTTCACAAATTTAAACAGTTGTAGGAGGTTAGTACCCACCCCTTTCCTAGAAGAATGAAATATTTTGGGAAATATTAAAAAGGCAGAATATTATATTTTTCTGGATGAGAAATGGAGAAGCATATTTTACAGACAAAGCAGCTCCCACCTTCCTGCCCCCCACCCTTTGTTAATGGGCCAGAGGCAGAAAGTCAATCCTTTGTCAAAGGACATTTGCAACCCAATAGCAACAGAAACTAACACAATGGGCCCCATCTAGCAACAGAAACTCACCATACGTGACCTGGGAAGCATGTGATCTGGGAAGCACATGTGACCATCAGCCAGCAAGGCTAGCTAAGACCCCCACCCCCTGGGAGTCTGACAACCAATCAGGATACTCTTTTGGGGCCCCAAGAAATGCAAAGCCAGAGAGAGCATAAAAACCCGAGGATTTACTATATCTGCTCCTTTTCTGTTCAGGAACTCAAGCCATGTGATCCTGTCCACCATTAAACCATCTTTCCAAGCAGTCTCCATGTTTCCAGTGTCTTTTTCCCCTCTTGGAGCAGAACCCAGAAGAATATTTCTTCCAACACAGTGTTTAGTCATTTCAATTAAATTTACAATTTCTATATTTCTTTTTTGCCATATTTATTCCTCATCTATTTTTTTAAAAAAAAACAATATTACCCTTCATCCTCATCTCTAATCTTAATCAAATTCAATTTTTCCCTTCTATTCTATATTATACCCCTTCTATGTTTATATCCATCCTCACATTGGTTAATTATGTAATTATGTAATACAGTTGTTTAATACAAATTCAACATTTTAATATAAATCAATTAGTTATATAACTATCTTTTTTGTATATTAATCAATATGAACATGAATATTCCAATTATTTCCATGCTATCCAATTTCTTACAAATCCATTAATTATATTTACCAATAATAATAAACCAAATAATTTCCCCCATATATTCCTCCAAACCACAACTTAACCATTTCTGCTTTCAACACAATATACAATTAATAGTATCTCAATTATTACAATTCCCTAGTTAAATAGAGCTTTTTTCTTTTTTCTTTTGTGTTTTAAAATCTTGAATCTTTTCCCCTAAATTTCCCATTGTTTGCACCTACCTTTTTTGGTGAGCAAAAAGAAAAAGAAATCTCTCTCCCTGCCTCATTTTGTCACGTTGCAGCAAAGACCCTTTCAGTTTCGTTTTAGCTAGGGGAAAAAAATTGCTGCAATACTCTTTGCAGCTTGCAAAGGAGCCTGCACAAATCAGCTGAGAGTCGGGAGGCCCAGCTAATCAACTTATGCTAATTAACCTATTCTGAAGCTGAAAGAGGCTGTTTTTTCTATTTTTGCAGGCACGATCTTCTCATTTGTTTTCTTTTAACACTGATCACCTGTAGGGCGGCCCTTTGAAGCCCCGTGGCAAGAATTTAAACAGTTTTTTTCCCTCTAGCCATCAGCTGGGACTTAGGAGGCAGCAATAGATTGGGAGTGGGTGGGGTAAGCGAATGGCGAACGGCGATCCAACAGAGGCAGAGGGTGAGTGAAGGCGTGGGGGGGTGAGAGAGGGCTTTGGCGACCCCTGTGAAATGACCATTCGACCCCCAAAGGGGTCGCGAGGTTGAGAACCGCTGGTCTATGGAGATTCACAGTCATCCAGTTGATGGTTGTGCCAAAGGTTCTTTTTCAAGAGGCAGCTGGACTTTCTGGTTTTTCTTTGAAGACATTTCACATCTCAACCAAGAAGCTATAAAGTTCTGAGCTCAAGAAGCTTCTTGGATGAGAAGCGAAACAAACCTCTTCAAAGAAAAACCAGAAAGTCCAGTTGCCTCTTGAAAAAGAACCTTTGGGACAACCAAGATTAAGGATAAATTTTGCTTCCAATATAAAAAGAGCAGAATCATTAACAAGCCTCTCTCCAGCCCTGCCTAATTTGTCTACTACCTTTCTCTGCTCCAGATGTTACAGACTTCCTTGAATGGCATTATGGGTGACCACATCTGGCCTGCAGGTGATCACAGATGGCAGCAAAAACAGGGAAACATCTAACTCTTGGCTGACATGAAGCTTTTTATAGTCCAGAGTGGAGAGCCTTGTTGACACCCTCTCTCTCATTTCTTGAAAACCTCTATAGTACATAACATACTAAGTTGCTGCACCTCTTCTCACTGATTGGTTTGCAGAGTTTGTCTTTCTCATTTTTCTGGCTGAGATCAAGTTGATGTATTTTTCATTGGTTCTCAGAGCTGGGGTGGATGGGAATTGCCTAGAAGACAGTAAAATCAGAGAGAAAAATAAATGATAGATTAGATTACAAGGTGGATTCCCCCCCCCTTAGAAATCATGGAAAGCTGCAGAGAAAAGGGGGAATTGCAAATTAACTGCTTTGTTAAAAAATATCTCTCAACCCATCAATGTATGCAATTGGATTAATTGTCACTGAGCACAAAGCACATTAATGTCAAAGTCACAGACGGAACTAATCAGTTACATGTGTGCCCTTACATTGTTGTTCACTATTATCAAATCAGATTTTGGTGACCCAAATAATCAGTATCACAGTTCCTTCAGCAACCACTTTTCAAGAGTTTAGAAATATTTCTGTTCAATCAGAGGTTGCTGGATTTCTTCAGGCAGAATTCCATTTGACCCAGCTGGTAGAAAAGGCTCCTCCAATCAGAAAGGCAGACTTTTTATCTGGGCCACTAAAAATACTATATAGAGATTGAATTTTTATTGCACGATCTCATACAAGGCCATTCAGAAATTATACCCACTGAATTAAATAGTGCTTACTTCCAAGTAATATGTGTGACAGTGTTCTGCATTCTTAGGCCTTCTAAACATACTGGTTTATACCGCATCTTAAAGTTGCCAGTTTGAAAAACGCACATTACATAATAACACATTACATAATAACCACTGAACTCATGGACTTTAGATCTACGTTATCTGGCATTGTAAGAAAATATACCATGAGGTATATTAAATTGCCTTCAATTCCAGCATATGCTTGAATGGTTCCAATTTTTCTTTGAGGTCTTCATCTATATGCCTTCTGAAAATAGTTTGGGATAGCAAACATATAATGATGCTACTTCTGAAATTTACTTCAATTCTGTTCAGATCTGGATGTCCCCCATGCAACACTCTTTGTGGATTCTCTGACTGTGCCATGACAATAGTTATTTATTCACAATTGCAAACTAAGACTGCTGGCTTTATGGGCTATAGAACTGGATATTCATTATTTGGAATCAGCTGGATGAACAACAGCCAGTTTTGGCAATTGGAGAATTTAGTCTGACTTGTTGCAGTCTCTAAGCT